TCGATTAAAATTTGAATATAGGGATGAATCAATAGATTCATCAGTATGATAAAAAAGAGCTCTTGCAATAGTTGAAAGATGGATTTTTTTCTCTATTGACATGATTAAATTAATAAAAAATGTCTATCATAAATCTGTTATGTTCGAAAAAGTGAATGAGAGTTAATTTCTGATCAGTAAACATAGATGAGACCTACTTTCTCATTAAGGTAACCATTAAAATCTGTTAAATATAATAATAAAGTAAAATAATATAAAATAAAAGTTAGGTGATGAAGAGTTCGATTTCTATTGAATAAATATAATGTGTGATAATGTAATTGGATTTAAATTCTTTCATTTTTCTAATAATGTCTAGTTTTTTTTTTTACTTCTCTATAGGTATCAATCTTATCAAAATATCTTTTTTCAATATATCATTAATAATTAAAATTGCAATGTTATTTAGGACTAATTCTCTGAGAATTACTCTTATTAATTTTTCAAATAAAATACATATATATATATATATATATGAATTGATATTATTTTTGTGTCATTTGAAAAATGTGAATATAATTGACTATTGAAAAGGAGAGAAAAGATTTATTTATTCTGATTAGATATTATCGAAATCCTACTCCTATTCTTAACTAATTATAATATATAGAGAAAAATAATGTTTATTATATTCTCTCTCGCTCTTCGATTCCTAATAGAGAAACATGAAAAGATCATCAATTATATTTAACAAATTTTAAATAAATCATTCGTTAAACTAAGTCAATCATCAATCAATAGTTTCAATATCATAGAACGATACTATTTTCAATTCCATTTTAATTTAAGATTAATTCCATTTAATAATTCGGATTCTTAACTTCAATTTAGGTCTTTATTTTGTTTAGTGATTATCAAAATTTGTTAGTTAAGACTTAATTAAACATATATTATGAATGAATTAGTTTAAATGATACTCCTTGTTTAAACTCATATTGAATTTCCAAGGATATAACGATAAAACTAAGAAAATCGAAAATAGATGCATGGATATAAGTCTCTAGAAGCGAGTTATGACCCTTTTACTAAATATTCGATTCAGGTTTAAGTATCTATTGAAAAATCATATAATAGAATATCGTTATAAAATTTGTGAGATTGATAGGCCTAATTGATCCATAGGATATCCTGAAAATTTCATTCGAAATAAATATTCTTTTGTTGAGATATTCGATTTTTAAATAAATGATCGTTTTCCATAGAATATAGTTTACTTTTAAATATAATATCTCAACAAAAAAACATTCACTTTCAGTGATATTCTATCAATCATTAGACCTATCTATGAGCAAAGTTTCACCTTGAAATTTTACTGTTTCATTTTTTTAGTAAATACTTAAAGGTGGATCGAAAAATAGAATAAAATGGTCACAACTAGCCTCGAAAGACCCATCAACACGAACACTTTTAACAGTTTTATACTCTTACCAAGGTCTTCTTCTCAATTCAGTATGAGTTCAAACGGCGAGTGTTAGTTCCAGTATTTTCCTCGTTGTCAATGTTATTTTGACGACAATATACTTAAGGGTATATAAAAGGTAATATCGTCATTATCTTATTTCTATATAGAAGACCTTCAAGAAATTTTCTATTTATTAGGTAATAGAGAAAATGACGGTCTATTGTTCTATGCTATTTGATCACTATTGAATTAATATCGTAATAATAAAATGATGATAATAACTGTTTTTCTGTAAAATGTGACGTTTATACTAATGCTGTTTGATATAAAAGAGCGACGTGAGGATTTTTTGAATAACTTTTCATAGAAACAACGATAGAGAAGTGCAGTTTTCATCGTTCGAAAGAAGAGATAAACTTACATAGAATTGTATCCTTCAAATTTTTTTGATCTGATTTTTTTTAAAGATTTTTGATTGATGTCTTTGACAATAAATCTACTTGACGAAGTGTCTACACCGAATTTTAAATTGTCGGGTGTACATTCAAGCCGTCCGTCAATGGAAGATCTACAAAACTGCATAAGGTTTGTACGTTTAAAATTAATTTTTCAGGAGTCATACGTATTCTAGTTCAAGCTGCAACTGCTTGAACTAGCAATTTCTATGAAAAAATATCTTTTTTCTCTTTTATTCTTAATCAAAACCAGTTTTTTTGACACTTAGAAAATTGATTAAACAAAATTCACACAACATATTTGAAAAAGCCATAATATATGACTCGATGCAACTTCATCTCCTCTATCGAACAATGAAAACTGCAACTCTCCATCTTGTTTCTATGAAAATTTATTCAAAAAAATACTCACTCAGCCTTTTTTTCAAACAGCATTTGTACAGCCATCACATTTTACAAAAAAAAATAGTTCTTATCGTTATTTTATTATTACAATGTTAATTCAATAGTGATTAAATAGGATAGAAAAGTGAACCGTCATTTTCTCTATCACCTAACAAAAAAAAGAAAATTTCTTGAAGGTTTCTATATGGAAATAAAATAATGTCGACACTACTTTTGATATGCCCTAAGTATATTTATAGAAAATTAGTACTGATGATATTGTTTAATTGATCAGAAAAGCAGTAACTAGAATTTGACCTTGGACGAAGAAAAGTATTGTTTACTAACTGATGTAGAATGATTAATGAAGTATAGTATAGTGAGCGGCATGTCACCTTAATAATAAAGCATGAAGTAGATTGTGAAAATGAAACGCAAAGATTAGACCAAAAGCAATGTCTAAGAGTCTAACACTAATATTGAAATTTTATTTTTGTTTGTAATCGATTCTCTTGTTTTTTTGTAGTCATTCGAAAGTCTAGTAAATATAAATATCTACTTATGGATATACAAAAGTAGTGGCGCAAGTAGTTTAATTCCTTATAAAAAGCTTAAATAAACTCTTTCTCTATATGAACTGATAGGAAAAACGACGATCGATTCTTCTGTGCTATAACATCATTCCTCAAGTAATATCATAATAATAAAATAGAAGATGACATCTAGTTTTCTATCATATGTGACCATTATACTAATGTCTATTTAGAAATAAATGTGAAAACCTCGGATTTAAATCCGAGAGCTATGTGTACTTCAATATGTGAATTAGACAGATGAGTCATCCGATGAATGTCTGGACATCAAAATTATCCTGGCAAGCCTTTTTTTATAAACACTTCATTTCTATTGATTAATACTCAATCAATAGGATTTCGATGCAAGTGAAGCTCAGGTTCGAGTTCTCCGCCCTAGAAAACCTCTAAGTATCATCTCTGTGATAAGAAGATGAAGCTTTACTTTTCGATCAATTGTAGCGTAGACAAAAACAGAACCGATTTCCGTTAAAGTATTTTTGCAATAGGTGAGTTAGCCTTCTTGTTTCTTAATGTTTTATATACCATTTTGCAGCTCGTGAAATTCCCTATCGAATGGTATATAATAGTTGGGCTTTTATTTGACCAAGATAGGAAAAGTTTTTTAGGAAAACGAGTATAGGTCGATCTTCGCATAGGAAAGCATAGGGAAAAATGACTATTTTTTTAATAACTCAGCAATGGCTCGGCAAATCATTCTCATCTTCTTCTCTCAACCGAGATATTGTTGAGACTAAACTATGTAGAAAATTTCATCCTGATCGGATTCTCCTTTCAAAAGTTCTCATGTAAACGGACGGAAGGACACACTGACCGATTCTAGAGTCTATGAACGTTTTGAGTACACAAAAAGATGGAGTTGATATTTTTTGAATAACTTCTGGTAGAAAAGAGATAGAGTGCTGCAGCTTTCATCGTTCGAAAGAGAAGAAAAAGATGCATCGAATCATGAATTCTACGGTTTTTTTAACATGATTTTTTTTTGAAGTTGTTCAATCGATCTCTTTGAAAACAAACTTATCCCGTTAGCTGTCCACAGCAAATTACCGATTGTTGCGTGAATTTTCAAACC